AAATGGTTCTATAAAGTCTAGGTACCCCATGAAGCAATTTTATTTTTATTTTAATTATTCACGATAAAAATTCAAATTTATATTGGTATATAGAAACTTCACCTTGATATTAGAGGATTTTCCTTGTAGATATTGTTATCATTTTCTGAGATATTTTTTAAATAGTTGAATGAATTTTGATATTGAATTGGGTTCATTTTCCTAAATTCTCTCCAAGTAATTAAAATTCAAGTTTGATGGCATATAATAATTTACATTTTTATATAATGACATGTATTATTATATAGTGACAACGGAGATATAGCTATAATATAGATAAATTCTAAATGTTCATGATAGAGTGCCCAAATATTTTAATTAAAGATAATATTTTCTTAAAATCAGTTTCCTTTCTTAAAATTCCATCAATCTGCTTTTAATAACTCTAAATCTCTTTTATTGTTTGACACAGGTTTAGCAAATTTGACAAACTTAAAAATATTAAGTCTCCGTGATAATCAAATCAACAAATCTCTCATCAAGCTAGGTATACAATATCTATTAAATTTTTACTATCTATGCTCATGATATTGAGAGATGTAGTCAATTACTTTTTTATGTAATTTAATTCTATCTGCTTAATTTTTAAATTATATTTCTTCTTTTTCCTTGGTGCAGGTTTAGAATTTGACAAACTTGAAAGGTGGATCTAAGTTATAACCAACCACTTCTCTACCAAGTTTAGGTATGTAGCATTTAAAAATTTGCAAAAAGTTGCGGTTTAGCTATAATTAGAAGGCATTACATTCACTAACTTTTATTTAAAAGATTTATATAGGCAGTTTAGTAGTATGGTAATACTATACAAAGAGTTGAATATTACTTCACTGTCTATAATAATAATAAAGAGGAGTAATAATACACATACATTATTTTCTACAACTTTCCCATACAATATTATGTGGCAAGATATGATTGATTAATTTAAAGTTAAAATTAAACTTTTACCAAACACATCTTGCACATAATATGTTATAAGAAAGTGTGTTGGAAATGATGTATATGTAGTATTATTCAAAAAGAGAGGAGATATATACCAATTAAAGAGATTGCTGCCACCACCTCCTCCTACACAGCCGTCGCTCCTTGGTGACAATCCCCTTCGCTGTCGCCCCTTCCCTCAGCCATACCAACCACGTTGTCATAACCTCCACCAGTCCAGTTTGCACCAAGCCTAATAGCACCAAGCCAAGTGCGATTCCGGCAATCAATGCACCTTAAACCATAACCACAAAAAAAAATCTTCAAACTAAACATTATATTAACCCAACACAAGCAACTAGTGCACCCAAAAAACCATCAAATTCACTGAAAATGAACAAATCCATGAAAACATAAAACTAATAGTGAGAGAGGGAAAACAAGAATGAAGAGAAAGAAGAAAATAAATTGCTAGAGTTCGTAGTGGTTCGAAAGATGATGAAGGTGGGGCGCTAGGGTTGTTGGAGGTTGTTAGATTTTGGGGATGAGGGAAGGTGCGCAGCAGGTGGGAATTATGAAAGAATATTGGGGGTGGAGGATTTTGTGGCGGTGGGGTGTGGAAGAAAGATAAAAGGGGTGGAGCAATTTTTTTAATTATATTTTTTTAAAATTTGACTTTTTTTTTTTCTAAATTATTAAAAATTGGTTATATAATTTAACATTTTTTTTTATAAAACTTAACTTTTCTTTTATTAATAACCTGATTTTAATAAAAATATAATTTTTAATAGAATAGAGATAGAAGTTTAAGTGACAATTCCAAGTTAGAATGTAATTACCATTTTGTGTTTTAGGCGATGTAGAATAATTATATAAAATTTGTGCAGACTAGACTGACATAATGTCTTTTAACCATTAAAACAAAGTAAGAATTTTAATAATGGGGGAAAATGTAGATTGGGCAAACTTTGGGGTGGAAAATGTCATTCAACCTATTAAAATATTTGAAAAACTTAGGGAAGTAAGAAGTTAGATCAAGTACCATATAAAATGAATGAGTTAATAAAATAGATGACATTACAATCACATAACAAACATATCAATAGATAGTTTAGTAGTTGCCCAAGGCCTATCAATAAGTAGTAAGAGTTATATTTTACTTTCTTTTCTTCATGCAGGTGTTAAAATATTTGAAAAATGGAAGAGGAGTATGATGGAAAATGGACTCAGCGGAGCTCTTAATTCACTAGGTAACCAAATTTGTCAAAGTTACAATCAATTGGGTTTTCTCACTGCTTTCAAATATTCTTCTCTTGTTTTTTGGTTGTTTTATTTGTGCAGGTTAGCAAATTTGACAAACTTGAAAAGCTTGGATCTAGTTATAATCAAATCAACATCTCTAGCAAGTTTAGGTATGTAACATAGGTATGCTATAAATATCCACTTGAAAAAAAGTATAATTACAAGTACTCTGCATAAATAAAAATTAAAAAGAGACATACAAACATATCAATTAATTTATTTAAAAGTATTTATATAGTAGTTTAGTAGTATGGTACTATACAAAGATTGAAATATTATCTCGCATGTATCTTCATTATCCTATTTTCTCATCAACTGTCTCTTGAGCAGGTTTACAAAATCTAAAAAAACTTGGAAGAGTTGAATATGCGAGGAATGGGAAGGACGGTCTCTTACTTCGCTAGGTAAAATTAATGACAACCAATAGTCAAAGTTTTAGATCGAATATTTTAATAATCATCCACTGCCAAAATATTAAAACCTTTAATTTAAATATTTTATTGAAAAAATTTTATAAAACTTGAACTTTTAAGTCTAAAGGGTTTTCTGAAAATATATCAAATACTTGTAATTTTAAGTGGACCCAATTAATCTTTGAGAAACATAATTATCTCATTTTTTCATAATCCTATTTGATTTTTAAATTCTATTTCTTTTCATTGGTGCAGGGTTAGTAAATTTGACCAATTAAAAAGATTGGATTTAAGTGTAATCAAATCGCCAATGCTAGAGGTATGAAAAATAAAAAAATTGCAAAATTTTCTTTTAATGTTAAAATGAATAATAGACATTATATAATGCACTTTATTCAAGTTGCTTCTGATATGTGGTATAAACAATAATAAAAAATGAATTAACTAAAAAACTTATAAAAATAAAGTGACAATACATAGCATGTCTATCAAATCAATATACTTGAAGAGTTTGTATAGACCAATAGTATATATTACTCATTAACTATGTTTCTGTATTTGCTAGTTGGCTCAATAAACTATGTTATGGAGAGTATGTTCATTGATACTCATTAAACTATGTTTCATTGTATTGCTAGTTGGCTCAAATAAACTATGTATTGGAGAGTATTTTTGGTTAATATCTAATTCTTTCTTGGGGATAGGATATGGGTAATAGTAATTTATATGAATATAAGACAAGGTCATTAAATAAACATATCAATTTATGTAGAAGAATTTATATACATGGTTTAAGTATGGCACTACCCTACAAATTAAGATTGGAATATTTTATTGCATGATTAGTTGATCAAATCACTTCATTGTATAGAGTAGTTGGCTCAAGGCCCCTAATACAAAACAATGTATAAGTTTGATCTTTCTTGTCATCATTTATCTCTTGATGCAGGTTTAAAAAGTTGGAAAACTGGAAGAGTTGATATGGGATAATGTAAGGGCGGTGACCTCTTTACTTTAGGTAAAATATTCATTGTTTTAGGTGTTGGCCCAATTAATTTTTGAGAACAATATATGATTTCCTATGTGATTTTCAAATATATTTCTTCTTTCATTGGTTCAGGTTCAGCAAATTTGACAAATTTGAAAATACTGGATCTACGAAGTAATCAATCAACAACTCTTTGGCGACTAGGTATGTAAAATATAAATTTTGAAAAAAATTCTTTAATTTTATGTTAAAAAAATAATGACACCCTTATAATTCAACTTCATTCAAGTACTAATTGATACTACGTGGATAAATGACAAATAAACAATCAATTAGGAGACAATGTAAAATAAAATGCATGACAATTACTTAACTACAACTAGTTGGCTCATGTAAACTAATTGAACCTTCATCTGAAGAGTAATTGGAGGGTGATCTTTGTATCTTAAACTCTAACCCGTTTCTCTTGACTAAACTTTAGGAAAAGAAATTTTTGGGCACCTCCCAAAAAAAAAAAAAAAACAAAAATGTTTGTCTTCTATTTTTTTAGTCTATAAAAAAATATAGTGCCCTTAAAATATTAATTTGTCATTTTTGTACTAAAGTAAGGGTGTTTCAATACTTTCGGAATCAATTAACAAATTGATCTTTAAATGGTAAATGAATTGACCTCAATCTAGTATACCATTTTCTTATCAATGTTTTGTTAATTTTTTTTTTTTTTTATATGATTCTAAAATTCCCTTTATAATCGCACACCTATCTGTGTATGAGTGTTAACCTTTTATTTATCTATTTGATCCCCATTTTTAGGAATATGTGAATTGAAGAACTTGGCTAATATGGATCTCGGCTTCAATAGTTTCGGTGGTCATGACTTTAAATGCCTAAGCAACTTGACTTATCTCAAGGTTCTTGATCTTTCATCCAATCAATTAGTGCAGAGTACTTGTCATCTATTGTTGCTGACCTCAGATCCCTCGAATATTTGTCACTCTGATAACAATTTAAAAGGTCCCTCCACATATGTATGTTTCAACCTATAAGTGAAAATCGGTTTCAAACATATCCATTGAAGGTAATCAACGTACGGAATTGCAACTTGGATGCCATACTGGTTTTCTTTATACCACTACAATTACGATATGTTGACCTCTCTGATAACAAAATTGGTTGGAACTTTTCCACTCGGTTGTTACAAATAACACCAGATTACAAGTTTACGTTTAAGGAATCATCATTCTCAGGAATCCAGTGCCCAACTCTAAGTGAATACTTATCTAGATATTGCTTACAACAATAAGGTCAGTTGCCCGCAGAATATGGTACAAAATTTTGTTTTTCTTCATATGAGGCAGCAGAAGAGTAATAAATTACTTCTCACTGAAATACATACTTGTTCAGGAAACTATATCACAAACCGGTGAGATCATAAGACCATTGGTGAATGAAGGCCAACAATGCCTAAACTATTTAACAAAGTTTATGAACTCGGTGCTAAAAGCTAAAGAGAACTACAAGTCTAATCAAGACAAGTAAGCTTGGTAATCAACAAGTTCAAAGAAGTCAGTTTGAGGCATATACAACAATAAACTATTTGCCGTTGGAATATAGAAGCAAAAACACAACATTTTATGAGAAATTGACTTGTTTCTAAGCACTTAATAGACAGTTGTTCTACCCAAGAACAATCAAAGAATTAAGTAAACGGCACAAAGCACACAATACCTACCTGGGTAACATAGTTCCCATTCTGGCCCTGAGCAAGAACATAAGCAGATTCCAAAATTTCATCCACTATACGTTGACCTTGTTGTTCTTCTGAACAATGCTCCAAAACTCTGTGTCGAAAAGAAAAATAAATAAATAAAAAGATTAATAGATATTAGTTTCAACAAACAAAATGGGATCTCAAATAAATAAATAAATAAATAAAAGAAGTCTACACAACCAAGAAATTGAGTTCTATTACCTGAATAACACAACAACCATATGGGTGTGTAGAAAGCGTGGCAATTTGTCGTCGAAAAGCAAAAATAATAAATCCAATTTTTTCCACAGGTACACATTTTATACACTTCTGTACCACATGATTCCCATTCTGGTCATGGACACATCTCATGACATGCCCATCAAGCTCAATGACTTCAAGGCCCTAGATAAAAATAAATAAATACATAAAATAATTCAAGATTCAAGAAAATGATATTAAAATTTCAAAGTGAAGAATATACGGTTATACTTGGAACTCATTCAAGCAAAAATTGATGCATTCTTTATGAGAAAAATAAATTCGCAAGATTAACTAAGAGCAAGAATATACATACAAAGCTATGATGAAAACTCAGATAGCTTTATTACATCTAACACAAAATTCTGGACAAATTGCCTACCCTACAAAATCTATAATGCAACAACCTATTGCTACAAAGCATCTTTCAAGAATTTCAGAAATTAGGACTAATTTTGAGGCTATTATAAAATAGTTATGCATAGGCAGGACCAGCAGATGTATTGTTATTAGTGGGAAATTCAGTCCAAACATATCCTGTGAAATTTGTTGAGGTTGTTGATTGTGGAGTAGAACTAGTAAAACCAGTACCAGGTCTAGGAACAAAGCCAGTAGTTACAAAAGAGAAACTAGCTTCGTTTGAAAGCGGAGGACCTTGAAAATTAATATTGAATCTGTGATAACATTGCAAGGCAGAATGCCCAGCTTTGTTACATAGTTGACAAATTGGTTTGCCTTGGCCATTAGACCTTCCTCTACCTCTTACTCTATTTCCAGGGATAAAACCTCCTCTAGCATTAGATGAATTATGGACAGCAGAAGCTTCACCATATGAGGTTACTTGTTTTTGAAGAGGTATGTAATTAGATAGTGAACCAGTAGCTATATTAGTAACAACCTAACAGGTATGTTTCCTGCATGGAGATCAACAACTCTAATAGTTTGAGCTTTGTCTATCTTAACCTCATAACTTTCCAGAACAAGTTGTGTTTCTTGAAGAGAGACTAAAACAATCCTTGATTGCAAGTTCACAATAGCTGGATCGAATTCAGACCCTAGTCCTTCAAAGATATACAAAATTAGCTCTTCTATGGTAACAATATGTCCTGATGCTGATAAGAAACCAACCACTTCTTTCATTTTATGAATATAATCACTAACCCTAAGTGTTCCCTTTTTGGTACTATGTAGCATATTCCTCAGATGTAAAATTCGAGATATTGATTTAGTGAAAATGCTATTTTCTAGAGTTAAGCAAATTCCAGCAACACTAATGAATCTAACAACATAACTTCTGTAATTGAAGAAAGAAGCCAATCAATAAGAATTTGGTCTATTTTCTACCAAATCACAAACTTAGGGTTTTCTTGAAGTGTTACCTCATTCGAGTTTTCAGATTTTACCTCAACAAATAGTGCAGGACAAGCTTTAACTCCAGTAAGATAGGGTTCCAAACCATGAGTTCTAGATCCAGATAACACCAGTGATTTCCAGAAATTGTGATTTGATTTCTGAAGCTTGACAACATTTGGTTGAGAGTGATCTGAACTGGAGTCGAGAATTGTAGAACAAAATCCTTGTAATCAAGAGATTTTTCAGAGGAAGGTTGATTTACTTTTGCTAAAGAACTCATCAGATTCGAGTTCTTTGCATTTATTTAAATTTAATTAGTGTTTGGTGAAGAGGAAAATGAAGGAAAGTTTTCCATTTTTGATGACATATGTCAAGTTGAGAGAAATGTTAAAACTGAATTTCTCTGATTTTCCATTAATGAGAAGATATGTTTGTTACAGTGTAGTGTCCTTTATATATACAGCTATTAGCAAAACTATGCTTTTGATAAAGTCTTATAAAAGGGTAATAGCTGCAGCCAAATACTCTCAATCAAGTTGTAAGACCTGTAACTAATTAGTAACTAACTAACTAACTAAACACAGGTTAATTATGAGCTGACTTGGCAACATATGATTTGAGTGACACCTTAGTCAAGGATTTTTTTCTCTACAGCTCAGCTCTATAAAATCTGAAGTTGCTCTATCAACAGACACAAATAACCTTTATGTGTCAATCTATATCCAAATTCCAATGAATACACACTTATTAAGTGTGATAAGCAAAATTATGCGTTTGATAATGTCTTATAAAAGGGTAATAGCTGCAGCCAAATACTCTCAGCATTGTATAATCTGGTTCCAACTAAAACAAAACTTGGAAGGGAGAAGTAAATATAATAAAGCTGATGGCAATTGATTAAGCAAGTAAACATCAGCACTTAAAAGCATTCCACCAAAAAGATAATAGCTTAGAGAGTTTTGGGAATTTTCCAGAGTCTAATTTTTTATTTTCTTTTCCTTTTTTGGATTCTCGTTAATTCATTTTATTAAGGTAGATTACTAATCCTCCTTCTGCATCAAAGTTTATTAGACTTGGTAAGAACTAAGAAGCATATTCTTTGAGGTCTACACAAACAACAACATACCAAGTCATAGCGGAGTGATTTCAAAACACTAATTAAAATACCGAATGTGGTAATTTAACAAATAGAAAAAAGTTTACGAGCCAAACTGTAGGAAAAGTTGATTCACTGAATTTACCCCAAACAAGCATGACTAACCATATAATTATTTTCCAATTACAACAGTTACCCTTACGAGGCAAAATCTATCAATAAAAGTTGAAGAGGGAAAACATGAACATTTTGCATATAAATGGAATGTAGAGACACATGAAAATTTAGATGAAAAAAAGTGTATTGAATTTATTACAACAGAGTAAAGTTATACATGCTCATGAATAAAGCATTCAGAGAACAAGTTTCTGCAGAATTAATGTTGTCAGGAATAAAAAAAAAGCACATATATATAAATATCAAGGCAGGGTTTTACAATGAGGATATATTCTGAACTAAATTTTGAATAAATGATTCTGAGAGTGAATAAAGCTAGGCGGTATTAGAATTCAAAGACTGAAAAGAACACGTTTTGCCTAATCTCAAATTCTCAATTCCCTAACCTAATCAGATCTTCAAAAAACAAGTTCCTTTTTCGCAAAAGAGAAAATGCAAGAAATTTGAAGTGAAAAGACTTTGCTTGAAGCTTACACGAATTCCTCGATGGGTTTTGCTCACACTTCAATACCCAAGTTTTAGATTCAATAATCTTTCGAAACCAAATCACGAAACTGGTCTCGATCTCTTCGATTTCGTGGCGAGAGAGAAGAAGAATGAGGGTCGGCAGAAGAAGAGACCGAGACCATAAGATTTGTTAAGTAAGTTTGTTTAGCGATATAAAAATAAAATAAAATTGGGTTAATTACGCTGATCTATCCAAGGTAGAGATGGGAATGACCCGGACTAGTTACCCCTTGGCCCAGGTCTAAGCCTGACCCCAAGACAAAGGCCTAGTCTCGTCATAGGAATGACAGGTAAAGTCCAAGCTTGACTCAAAGGGTTTTTTGTAATCTCAATCTCGACCCAAACCCGTCTATTTTTACGATGTGATTTTGTAAATATTAATAAATTTTAATTTTTTTTTATATTTTTAATTCTAGAAACAATTTTTAAATATTAATTTTTTTTTAATATTCACCAAATATTAATAAATTTCAAAAATTTTATATGTAGGATAATTTTATAATTAGATATATAGTATAAGGGTAATTTAGTAAAATTGACAGGTTAGGACTCAAGACATACCCAGTCTCAACCCATACTCAAGGACAGACCTTAAAATCAGTCACAAGCCCAAGCCCAAGCCCAAGCCTGCTAACACCAGGTAAAGCCCGAGCTTTTTGGGACAGGTACCCAGAAATACCGGGCCCATTACTATCTCTAATCTAAGGTTTAATTGAATAATAAAATCTGCCTAACATTTTAATAATACCAAAGTGTTTGTTGATTGGAGAAATTTATCATGGTGATTGAAGAATTTTGTTCCGGTGATATGAATAATTTGTTTTTCTTTTTTTTTTTTTTTTTTCTATAAATGAATTTTATTGTGGTGATATGAAGAATTTTGTTGGGTAAAATAATTTTGATTGAGTTTCGTTATAGGTGATGAATTAATTTGGATTTTAGATTTGGATTCATTTGTTAGTTTTTGATTAATTTGGATTAATTGATTTGTTTGATTAATTTGGATCCATAGCAAGTGACTTTAATCTTTCATCAGGGAGCTATATTTACATGCAAAAGAATGCTCTGAGTGGATCAATTCCGAATTCATTGTTCGAAAGCTCTAACTTGATTACACTTGATTTGGGAGAGAACAAATTTTCTAGAAATATCGATCCACGTTGGTTTAATGATCATTCAACTCTTAAGTTTCGTTTTTTGTCAAGCAATCACCTACAAGGCCATATTCCTAACCAATTGTGTCGACTAAGAAACCTAAGTCTCTTAGATCTTTCACATAACAGACTCAATGGATCAATATCTTCATGCTTTTCTAATTTGACACTCTGGAGTATGACAGGAGAGATTGATTCAAAAGGTTTCACTACAAGGTTTTCTTGGGGTATTGGTAGTGATGCACCAGGTGTTTATGACTATGATTCATCTATTTCATTTGTTAAGGAGGAAGAATCTAGTAGATCGGCAAATCCAGAAGTAATCTTCGAAGTAGAATTTACCATGAAAAATAGATTTGAGTCTTACCAAGGTTATCTTCTTGAAAAGGTTGCTGGATTGGATTTGTCAAACAATGAATTAAGTGGTGAAATCCCGACAAAAATTGGAGACCTCCAAGGAATATTAGCATTGAATTTGTCTTTCAATTTGTTATCAGGACCTATTCCAAAGAGCTTTTCCAATTTGAAAGAGATAGAGAGCCTAGACCTTTCCCACAATAATTTAAGTGGCCAAATACTTCCACAGTTAACTCAATTACATTATTTGGAGGTCTTCAATGTGGCACACAACAACTTATCTGGATCCATTCCTGATCAAGCTCAGTTCGCAACTTTTAATGAAAGCGATTATGAAGGTAATCCTTATCTTTGTGGTCAATTAATTAAGAAAAGTTGCACTAATGTGCCAATACCACCACCTCTAGCATCCATTGAAGAAGAAGATGATAATGAATCTATTATTGACATAGTATTATTCTGTTGGAGTTTTGTTGGATCATATACCACAACTATAATGGCCTTAATAATGATCCTTTGGATCAACCCAAATTGGCGTGAGTAATGCTACAGTTACCGACTGGTGTGTACCGATTTTGTGCATCGAATGACGTGGCACAATCCTGACCGTTTATTTATTATCAGTTAATATTAATCAACGGTCAGGATTTTGCCACGTCATTCGGTGCACAAAATCGGTACACACCAGTCGGTAGTTATAGCATTTTCCTATTGGCGTAGGTTATGGTTGTATTTCATTGATATATGTATTGATTTTTGTTTTCAGTGCTTTTTTTAAGTATGCTTAGCATTGATTCTGATATAAGTCATACTGAGTTAGATAACATTGTAATTTTCAAGTATAAGCAGTGAAGAAGCTATTAGTGGTTGAATACATTTCATTTCAATTATTTTTATATTTATTTTGATGTAAACAATTATTTTTATATTGTTGATTTGGTTTGCACAGTTTGAGTCCAGAAGAGAATTCCGAGAATTTAAATTAATTGCATTTATGACCGAGTTTCAGTTTATATGTGGAAGGTCTATGTGTTTTGTTTACACATTTCAAGGTTTTTTTTTTCCTATTTACTTTAGAAACTTTAGTAAATATTTTTGCCTTCAAGTGTATAAAAAAATTAATCTCAAGAAATATGAAATTAAATCAATAGTAAATTTACAGTTATTACAGATATTTAATTGGTTTGCTCCAACTGGGCGGACAAAAGTTTATAGTAAATCCCAGGCTTGCATTAAGTGTATTGACTTAAAATCTAGAAGTTGTGAAATAATATAGCTTATATAAATTAATAAAAGAATATTTTATTAAAAACCAAACTCCATTAAAGAAATATTGGAATTTGAAAATAAACTTCAAATGCTTTTAATATAAATGCCCGACTATTAAGTAGTAAATTGGTATGTGACTCCAAGCAATCACCATATTTTATATATTACACGATAATTAGCTTTATCAAACTGGCAAGTATTAGAGTCAGATAACAAAATATCTTATACTTATACATGCATCCATAAAATCGAACACGCCATGTACTTTCTTAATCTTTTTCAACAAAAAATACATTAGCAAAAGACACTTCTTTAACAATCTTATTTAGTGCACCAAATGCAAGCAATGACAACAATGTGGCACCCCCATAGAAACATTATCTTAAAGGATAAATTTCATTCAACTTGAAGCTTGGCTAATTATGGCGTCCTACTTAAATACACACCTCTCCTACAAGGAGGTTTTTGATAATTTTGTAACTAGGATGGTCAGCAGTGTAACCAAATGTCTTAGTGAGGTTTAATAAAAAAATTTGTCATATAAATTCAAGAATGGACAAAATACTCTGGTTGACGCTAGAATAATCATCAAGCCACACTGGTGATATCATAGAAACGGCAATAAAATATGAAGTAATAAAATTGCATACACAAATCCACACTGGTAGGCAGGGACCTTCTGTAAATGTCCACGATAACGCGTACAGTGTCTACATTTGATGTTATATATACATAATGATACCAAATGCATGTGACCCTGGTGATATCATAGAAACGGCAATGTGCCGATGATGGTCAACAACAGGATTAATTAATGGCTGTAGTGAATTTTAGATTTGATTTATATATCTACATATGATACCAAATGCATGTGACCCTGGTGATATCATAGAAACGGCAATGTGCCGATGATGGTCAACAACAGTATTAATTAATGGCTGTAGTGAATTTTAATTAAATTTTGATAAAAGAATGTTGATAAAGTG